TTTGTAAGTTGCAGCATTAATTGACGTCAAGGTAGCTCCATTTGATTTAGTATGTTTGTTTTTATTTCGGTCATAGACCAGCATAAAACATACTTTTTTTAAAAAAATGCAAAGAAGTAAAATATAGTACTAATAAGATAAATTACTGGCATAGAATTACAAAATATACAATACTAGAGAAAAAATATAATTGAAATCTATAGTAAAAATGTCATAGTTAAGGTAGATAACTGATTATAAATACATAAACATACTAGACATAATAATTTAAAACTAGGCTAATTTGAAAAGGTCCGATATCTGCTGTAATTAGGATTTGATTGGGATTATTACAACTGTAATCCAACCAACTAGAAGCAGGATAATATAGATTTTTCTTATTTAATGTCTGCCTTATTTAGTGACCACAATTATGACCAGTGATAAAAAATAACTTTATGCCCTATCTTTGCTTTTATGATCTAAGCAGGCCTGTGAAACAAAGGAATGGTAAAGTAAGATTATAACTACCTGGTTTCAATTAGCAAATTTTGTTGAGTTGCCAGTCCAAATTGTTGCTCAGGGAGGACAACCTGTAAAATCTAGAGTTATTTGGAATGATATTTTTTAGAAAGAAAAAAAATGAGTTACCGAGTATGGTAACTTCGGATTCAGTATCGCTTCTGTGCAAAAGTCATTTGCATTCAGTCATAGCTTGGATTCTGAACTGGGGAACACTGCCTGAAATCCCCGTGTTCTGGTTTCCTAGCAGCAGATAAGATAATCCAGTCTCTGTCCTACATAGGTATTGTTTTATGAAGAGGAAAATATATATATCTTGGACGGCTCTATTAAAATGACAGCATAACCACAAGTCCCAAAGTTTCAATTTCCCCCTCATCACAAGGGCAGAATTGCTAGGTTTCAGAGCCTTCTCTTCAAAATGGTGGGAGGGCATTATAGCAGGTAAACGTAAAAGCTCTTCCAACGTTTTTTAGGAGTGATAATGTACTGATAATGGGTAAGTGCACTATTTTTTTCTGCATTGAGTGGAATAATATATAATGGCACCTGGATGGGATCGCTTTCTAGGCAATAATTGGCTCTCATGAAAATACCTTAGCCTGATGAAATTCCATTGGAATCCATACATGAGGGAAACTCCACAATTCTTTACGATGACACTAAGCAGTTTCTATAAGGAAGTCTAAAATTTGTCTTTTTTAAAAAAAAGCCAGATACTTTTGGTTAAAGATTAGCTTGAACTACTAATGAGTGCTTGGTACAGGTTTAAATTGTAACTATTCCAGCCTCAGCCTAAAAGACTGAGTGAGAAACAATAAAAAACAAAAACAAGTTCCTTAAGAAGCCTGACTGAACAACTTCAAATGGTTTTAAATTATATGCACACATTTAGGAGTCATAAAATGGTTGTGACATTATTTTGAAATCAGAACATTTTTAGTCCACCATATAATTACCTTCTATGCAAAAACAAATAAAAAAAACCCCAACCAGATTGTGGATATACTTCTGATCTCTTGGTGATTGAATTTGGGGCCTCCATAAGCCAGTGGCATGGAAAACAATTCCCAAGTATAGAGGGCCTGAATATGTTTGACTTTATTCTTACAGGTACAGTATTCCTCATTTAACATCTGCTCATTTAGCAACCATTCAGAGTTGTGATGATGCTGAACAAATGGGTACTTATAATAAACCTACTTACATTACATAATGTAGGAGTAGTACAATAGTCTACAAGTCAGGTTTGGATAGTGATCTAATTTTTAAAATCTTGTTGCCATAGCATTGATGCAAAAATTAAAATGAAAGGGAGGTAAAATACAACTTTGCTTTACATCAGACATGTCAAACACAAGGCCCGGGGACCGGATGTGGCCTGTGGAATGATTTCATGTGGCCCGCGAAGCCATCCTGGAAACAGTGAGGGAATGGCCCCCACTGCCTTGGCCCTGGCCCAGGCCGGCCGGGAGCCAATGTACAATTTTGTGGTGGCCATCTATGCTGAAACGCATTCAGTCTTAGCTCCACAAGACCATCTGGAACCAGCCCCTGCTACGTCGGCCCTGCCCTCTGGGTGCATGCTGGGGAGGTGTCACCCTTTGTGAGGAATGAAGAAATGCACCATTGCCTGTAAGTGGCCAGCAAATGGCCCTCGCCTATTTCACCTATTCGGCTTGATGGGCTCTGGAGGAGGGGTTTTGGCAGGCAGCAGGGCACTCTCCTCACAGTGCCGAGAGGCTGGACTGGGCGGCCCGAATCCAAAAAGAAGCACGACTGGGCAGGCTGGGGGCTGGGCGACATTGCGCTTGTTTTTGGATTTGCGCCGCCCGGTTCAGCCTCTTGGCGCTGTGAAGAAAGTGCCCCTCTACCTGCCGAAATCAGGCAGACTGGGGGCTGGGTGGCATTGCACAGGTTATGTTGACTCTCACGCTGCTCATGGCATCCCCTCTCCCAGAGCCCACCAAGCCAGATATGTGAAGTAGGTGAGGGCCATGTGCTGGCTATTTCCAGGTGATGGTTCATTTCTTCATTCCTCACAAAGGGTGACACCTCCCCAGCTGCGTTTCTTGCCTGTTTTTCTCCCTCTCATCTCAAATATTTTCCCACCACTCTGTACTTAGGAAGGAAGGAAAGAGGAAGGGTCTGAGGGAACTCCTGTCTTAGTCTAGTCCTGCCCTGCTGCCCTTTCACCATCCACTTGCCCCCTCCTCCTGGCCTATCCTGGGGGTCTCCCATCCTATTGCTAAGGAAGCTTTGGATACAAAGCCGGGTCTACTCCCATGGAAAGGGAATGGGCCTCCCTCTGACTTTGCTCTCGTACCCATCATGAGCGACCTGGCTAAGGAGAGCAAGCACAGCAGCAGCAGCCTTGAGGAGATAAATGCAGCTGGGCACCCCCTTGGGAAAGTGGGGCTGGGCTTGGTGCCGCGGGTGCTCAAGGGCCAGACTGGTTGTTTGACCTCTGCTGCCCAGGGCTCCGGGCAGCCCGCACCACCATCCAGCCTCCCCTCACATGGCCTGAGAGGAACAGTGAGGCTCTTCCAGTGGACCATGCCTTGGCATTTGCCCTGGTCCCACCCCCTTCTGCCAGAGACCCTCAGATCTGTCCCACTCCTACACAGGCCCCCACAGGCACCCTTGACGCGAATGATGTAGAGCTGGCCATGCCCATTCCATCCACGCCCACCCAGTAGGCCACACCCACCCGGTCCCCCAAGGGCAACCACAATGCTGATGTGGCCCTCAATGAAATTGAGTTTGACACCCCTGCTTTACATCCTTGTAATTATTCTGTTGCATGAACGCAGCCTGTAAATTAATTTAAAGGTTTTTCTGCATATATGAATGGTGGTAATAGCTACAAGATAGTTAACTAAGCTTTTTAGTTTTGTGTGTGGTTGATTGGGCTAGTGTAAGCCCTGATACGTTCATTCCAAAGCAAAATCTAAAAATAATTTCCTATCATTATCAGATTTAGTTTTTACATAATTAAAAATTTAGGGTCAATTTAACTGCTATAACAGAATACCAGAGCTGGAAGGGGCCTTGGAGGTCTTCTAATCCAACTCCCTGCTCAGGCAGGATAAACTTTCAGACAAATGGTTGTCCAAACTCCTAAAATCTCCCAGTGTTGGAGCATTCACAACTTCTTGAGGCAGGTTGTTCCACTGATCAATTGTTCTAACTGCCAGGATTTTTTTCTTTAGTTCTAGGTTGCTTCTCTCTTTGATCAGTTTCCATCCATTGCTTCTTGTCCTGCCTTCAGGTGTTTTGGAAAATAGCTTGACTCCCTCCTCTTTATGGCAGCCCCTGAGATATTGGAACACTGCTATCATGTCACTCTTACTAGTCCTCCTTGTCATTAAACTATACCCAATTCCAGCAATTGTTCTTTGTTCTAGCCTCCAGTCCCCTAATCATCTTTGTTGCTTTTTTCTGTTCTCTTTCCAGAGTCTCAACATCTTTTTTATAATATGGTGACCAAAACTGGATGCAGTATTCCAAGTGTAGTCTTACCAAGGCAGTATACAATGGCATTAACATTCACATGATCTTGATTCTAACCGTTAATGCAGCTTAGGACTGCATTGGCTTCTTTAACAGCTGCAGCACACTGCTGGCTCATATGTAAGTGACTGTCCATTAGGTCTCCAAGATTCCTCTCATAGTTACCACTATTGAATCAGGTACCACTCATATTATACCTGTGCATTGGTTTTTCTTGCCTAAATTAAGAACGTAAACATCTTCTGATAGCTCTGCAAAGAATTCTGCTGAAGCCCTCCCTATTTGATATTTGAATAGGGAAAAGAGGCAGTTAATTCAAAATCACTCTTAAATGCAATTTTCAATTTGATGGAATGGTATCCTATTGCCAATTATTTTAGGAAAATTAGAGATAATTTAAAAATCAAGATTATTTTGTGGAAAATCTAGTTGATATTAATGCCATGGCAGCAGTTTGCCTTCTATCCTCATTACGTCTTGCATCAAACTGAGTAAACCATTACATCTGCAACCATTTTCTAGTTACCTTGAATTTCAACATGATACCAGTTCAAAGTAAATTCTCCCTATACTGAGTTTTTATTATTGGAACTATCAGATTTTATGGGGTAACAACAGACATTAGAAAAAAATACACCAAAATAAAGTTATGAGAATAATTTAAAAACATTTCAAAAAAACTTTATTCGACTGATGACATAGGTAGCACAGCAGTCAATGTCAGAACAAGCCACTATCCAAAAGACCCAAATGTCGACAGGAATTATTTCAAATAGCTATTATCCACATGTCAAAAGCTTCGCCATTCCAACAAGAGCCAGTGTCTTTCCCACGGGCCATTACTGACTTCCCATTCATAAGTTCTATACAGGTAGTCTTCTACTTAATGAACCGCAACTGAGCCCAAAATTTCTGTTGCTAAGTGAGATAGTTAAGTAAATCTTGCTCCATGTTATGACCTTTCTTGCCACAGTTGTTAAGGGAATCACTGCAGTAGTTAAGTTAGTAACAGGGTTTTTACATGAATCTGGCTTCCCATTAACTTTGCTTGTCAGAAGGTTGCAAAAGATGATCACATGATCCTGGGACATTGCAACCGTCAAACCCGAATCAATTGCCATGTATTCAAATTTTGTTCCTGTGACCATGGGGATGCTGCAACAGTTGTGAAAAACAGTTGTAAGTCACTTTTCAAAGTTCCATTCATCACTAAATGAATGGTTCTAAGTCAAGGACTACCTGTACTTATCAATACTGCCTAATGCTGACACTTCATAGTTGCAGCTTGATGTGCTCCATTTCGTCGTCGTCTTCCCAAGAATTGGCTCAGTGACTCAAGTGGACCACTGCGAGCCACTGGGCAAAGTTCTTTCTGATCCTTCGATGTGAGGTTGAATCACTGCTGTTTCGAATCTAGCTCAAACACAAAGTCATCAGGTAAAGTTTCTGAAACCATCTGTGTCAACTGATCATCATGAGAGCGGAGTGTCCACAACTTTTCCAACTCGTAGATTTCTCGTGTCTCTGGCAACATGAAATGGACTACGATGTTGCCTGCAAGAAGATGGGGCAGCACAGTAAGTGAAGAATGAGATTAGTACATCAGACCCTTCTGACCCACCTCAGGTTAAATGCCTTCCATAATGTGGCAGTCCAAGTAAGCAGGAATGGCAAACCCTGGGAGCTTCTATATGTGCCAGTCATGTTAAATTAGGTTTCATGATCTTAAAAGTCAGACCATATATTAGAGCAAGTAGTCCTTGATTTACAACCACAACTGGGACTGGAACTTCCCATCACTAAGCGATGCACTTGCTAGATAAAACATCGCACAACTGTTATTACTTAGAAAGGAAAGTTCTAGTAGTACCAATTGCAGTTGTTAGGGCAGGACAGAACCATCATTACAGGAGGATCTCATGCTTTCTCTGCCCTGATATGCTCCACCCACCTAGTTCTCCCCCCCATCTCTGCCCTTTTGAACTCTTTCCCCCTAAACTCTGCCAAGTATCTCCGCTGCCGACTTTTGCTGTCTTCTGTTTTGCCACACACTAATAAAGGTAGTCCTCATAACTGACCATTTAACCACTGCTGGAATTTACAACAGCCTGTAAAGCAATTCTGGCTATTGTAAAATGTGGCACCTCTCCCCTCCACAGCGATGTAGCCAAGTTTTGGGTTTGGTAACTGGCTCACATTTATGACTGATTGCAGTGTCTCACTTCATGTGACTGCAATTTGTAACCCTTGTTTTTGCCAGTTTACAGCAAAATATCCTTTAGGAGAATGGATTCGGATTTATTCACGTAACAACTGGCGTAAAAAATTGGGTCTTGTCATATGAGTGCCTCAATCCACGATTATTACAACATAAATAAAAATTCCCAACTGCAGTCATAAATATGTAGCTTTGAATAATATCCATCAATAAAGACATAAAAATATTTTGTGTGGAAAACAAATTACATTTTAGGTCATATTTATGAAAATTCAAAAGTATTCACAAACTTAAGCATCACTGTACTAAGTGACAGATTTACAGAGACTCGTGTGACAGGCTTGTATATAAGAACCAGGAGAATCTTGTTTGGTTGGCACTTGAAGATTAAAACAAGGTTTTTATTAAGAGTGGAGCAGGTTATTCACATGATCAATTTTTTTTATTAGAATCCAGAAATTATCCAAAAATCATCCAGAAATCTATTAGAAGAAACAATTGCCTTTTCAGATGAATCCTGTTTAAAATTCTCTGTGCATTTATGTACAAATACATGTAGGCATTCAACTGATGGCAAAGAAGCTTTTAAATCCATATCCATGTTCACAGCTCTGCAATAAACCAGACAGCTAACAACAATTTATGTTCTGTTCACATAAGCAATAAAGAAGCAACAGCAGTCACAAAATTATCAGATTGATTTTTCAATTTTTGTAAAAACTGCTAAGTAAATCAATTAATACATAGATATTGGATTAGAGATAGTAATTGGAACCACTCCAACAAAATCCAGAAGGGCTATAATTAGTACCAAATCATTTTAGGGGGAAGTATAATCTATGGATTATAACTATGATGAGTTCCTGATGAAATTCAAAGTAAATTAAAAAATCCTAATTGCAAGCAGTTCCAAGAGGACTATTAAAATCACAAGTTGGTTTTTTTTATAATTTCAGATTTTCCTAATAGATTGGGAAGTTTAATATAAAAATGTTATCCATTATTTCAAGGGATTTCATTTTATGTTAATGAGAAATGATTCAGTGTCATTTGAAAGAAAATTGAAACCTGTGACCAATTATGTTGCAAATTACATTAAGCAGAAAGAGGTTTTTGATCAATAATCACACCTCTGAATCCACATTGCAAGAAATTACTTCACATATATGTCTTGGGTCAATCAATCTCTGAGTTCAAAGGTAATATTATGCTAGTATGCAAACTCAAATGTAGTTTGTCATTATGGCAAGCATGGGCAATCCATAGCCCTTTGAAACCCTGTATAATGGTTTCCAAAGCATAAGTCTGAAACTCTGGAAGTGAGGTAAATGATGGAAAATAAGAATGGAGTAGAAGTACAAAATCTCTGGGAGGTGAAGCATTCTCAGTTTGTAAACTCAATCACATATAACCTGATTTTTTTATTCGACTGAGAACATTAGTGGTTGCATTGAACAGCAAAAAGTAGATCAGATTGTGCCTAAGTAACCTCTACACCAGTGATGGCGAACCGAGTGCTCAAAGCCCGGCCCCACCCCCCACCCCCGTCCCACCCCCTGCAGGGCCACCCACCGCCTCCATGGCCTGCCACAGATTGCCCAGGCGGCCCAGCAGCTCCATGGCAGCCACACCATTCCCTGTGCCCCACAGCATCAACTGCGTGCGATGGGGCGCAAGGGCAGAGTCTTGTCCTTGCTGCTTGGCTGCTATGTCCTTGGCTGCACTCGGGGGCAACTCTGTGGGGGGGCTGCTGGTAAGGAGGGGCTAGGGTGACGGCGCACGTGCCCACAGAGAGGGCTCTAAGTGCCGCCTCTGGCACGTGTGCCATAGGTTTGCCACCACTGCTCTACACTGTACCCAGGATTCCCGATGCTCTCCAATGTATATAAAGGAACCGAGTGATCTTAAATAGACTGACAATTAGAGCACTTTTGGCAAAACAAGAAGAGAAGATGACCGGACATAAGCTAGAACTGCTATTAAGGCCTACCATATGGTGATAAGAGTGAAGAAGTATAACTATTTCTCTGCCCTTATTGCGTCTGGCAATTGCCAAGTGGCCCCGTTTGAATGACTTGGAGGGAATAATACCAAAATTCACCTAACGTGTCACTGCGAGGAATATGATGCATGTAGCTGACAAAGTCACATATATTTCCTTTTCATAAAGTAGGATCTGTGGAAGAGATGGGAGCTATGTCCTGCCAGTTGCCCTGGGAAGTTTGAGCCCATGGAACTTGCCAAAATGGATTAAGGTTCTCTCAGCTGCTAGTATAGCCATTTTTGTATTAAATTCACATGCTTCTCATTTTATTAAAGAGTATATGTAGGATTGGAATTTTTTTGGGGGGTAGTTAATTCCTCCTTGAAAGAGTGGTCCCACCAGCTCTTAAAGAGGTTGTAGTGCACCTATTCAAAGCACCACTGCTCAACCCAACAAGCTGGGCAGTTTCACCCAATATCCAATCTTCCCTCCTTAGAGAAGATAATGGAGAGAATGGTCATGTGGCTGCTGCAGAGAACCTTGGATAAAGCAGATTATCTAGAACCCTTTCAATCGGAGTTCAGGCCAGGGTTTGGGACTGAGATGGCACTGATCACATTCATGGATGACCTTAGGTGGGAGAGGGACGGAGGTAGTGTAACTATCTTGGCTCTTCTTGACCTGTCAGTGGCATATATCATTGATCATGGTATCCTTCTGGACTGGCTCCAGGAATTGGGGGTGAGACTGCATTGTGCTAGTTCTCCTCCTTCCCCCAGGGTCACTTTCAGTCAGTGTTGATAAGTAGGAGATCAAGGCTGTAGCCTCTATTTTGTGGGGTGCTTCAGGGCTCAGTTATCCCTCCTCTCTTATTTAACATTTGCATGAAGCCACTGGGTAAGGTGGTTTGAGTGAGATATCAACATGTGGATGGCACCTAGGTTTATATCTTTGTTCCATGCCCCTTGAATGATGCTGTGCTGTGTCTGGAGGCTATTTGAATCTAGATGGGGCAAATAGGCTCTGTGCCAACCCTAGCAAAATGGAATGGTTGTGGGTATTTGGACCTTCCGGCGACAAGGTTCTTCCATCTTTAGTTCTGGATGGGGTGACACCAGCCCAGACAGATCCCGTAAGCAATCTGAGAGTCCTCCTAGACTCACAGCTCCTTGAAGAGCAGATTGCAGCTGTGACTAGGAAAGCATTTGCACACATTCAGGTTGCACCCATTCCTGGACCAGGAGGCCCTGCTCATTCATGCCCTCGTAACCTCCTGTTTAGATTACTGTGATGTTGTCTACATGGGGCTGCTCTTGAAGAACATTTAGAAACCTCAACTGGTGCACAATGCAGCTGTACAGGTAATAAATGGTATTGGCACATGTAACACTACTATGAGCTGTACTGGCTGCGGGTGTATTTCCAGGTGCAATACAAGGTGCTGATTGTCACCTTTAAATCCCTACATGGCTTGGGACAGAGTTACCCCGAGGGATTGTCTTTTTCCAAGAGATTTTGTACCCATCAATCCGATCCAACAGATTGGGTATGCTGATCCCATCAGCCAAAGAGTGTCAACTGGTGAGAGCCAGAATAAGGCCTTTTCTGCTGTGGCCTCTGCCTTCTGGAATATTTTGCACTCAGAGATTAGAATGGCCCCAACCCTGTTGGTTTTCTGCAAAGCTTTGAAAACTTGGCTATGTCCCTGGGCACGAGGCTCAGAATGGATTAAGGATCTGCTGCTTGGCTTTACTATTAGCTGGTTAATCATCATAGCTGCTGTTTGTGTTTTTTATGTTGTGAATGTTTTTATTGTTTTATTGTTTTAAAACAATTACAACAATAAAAACATTGTTAAATAATTAACTTAGAATAATTATATTCTTTTATTTTATCATTGTATTCACCCAGAATCAGTTGGTTGAGTTGGGTAGAAATGAATGAATGAATGAATGAATAAATGTGAATAAAATCACTTGCATTCTCTACTTTACCAGTAATAACAATATTTACCAAAATCAACGCATAGCCAGTCATCAGTCTCTTTTCCTTCTATCACAACATGAGGATCAGTATCGTTCTTCTTATGCTTGTACTGGAAGACAAGTACAAATAAAGATATAGATTATTTCCTGTGAATACCTGTGTGTATATTAACAATTAATAGAGTTCATTTAAATTGTTGGGACTTCTGACGAGATTGCGATACAGCAGGCTGCACATATGCAAGCTCTGCGATAATTTTAAGGTTTATTTTATAAATATTGGATGGGAGGTTTCTTAATTGAAGCACACAGCATCACTATCAGCTGTGGTTTAACTGTGATAAGATGTTTACTGCAGAAGCACTGTATGCTGATAACAAAATGTAAAACAAAGCTGGAACTCCAAGCATTTTATCTCATAAAACTAATTTTAGTTCTTCCACTATAATACAGGCAGTCAGTTAGTCAAATTGAGAGTATTTACTGTAGGTAGATGGAAGAATGTTTGAGAACATAACAAGTAGAGGACTATTAGTAATCTTATTATTACTTAAATACTAAAAAATTGTCCTTACAAGAAGTGGATATGGTTGATTAGAAAGACTAGAAGACTGGAATAGTAAATTACAAATAATAAATAAATAATAAATAAATAAATATCACAGATATTTTTCCCTCCAACAAGACCTTCATCTAACTCTTTAGACAATGGCTCAATTATTCCAACTGAAAGCCCTATGATGAAGTCATCACATGACTGGTCATTAGGGTTCACCGTATGTTTACAATAAATAAAACTGGAGTAAACCTAGCCAGAGAATTTGCTCTTATGAATTAACAAATTCATGTATGGACAATCAGTGACACCTCTGCAGAGTGGGATTCATCAATGCTGGTAGGTAAGGATACTGAGGATCTAAATGACTTTCCAGCTCCAGGCTTAATGACTGAAAATTCTAATGAATCATCGCCACAATGAGATCCTTTTTAACAGAATATAGACCTTCTACAAACATTTAAACTGTTCAGTTGATCCTGCATTTATATCTCGTTATATAGAAATAGGCCCTACTGATTCAATAAAACTTCTATCCCAGTGAGCATAGGATTACTATGTAAAGTCCAACTTCTTTAACAAGTGTCACATCCTAGGCAGCTAGGATTTTCTTTTCTTTGTCTTTTAGTACCTTCAAGTCAATACTTACTCCTAGCAACTGACTGGACAAGTCCCTGCAATTCCTTTATGGCAAGATTTTGGAAATTGTTTGTCATTGCCCCCTTCACAGGATTGAGAATGTGTAACTGCCTACTGTCACAGTTGGCTTTAGGCCTAAGATGGAACTACAACTCACATTCTAGTCCGGTGCCTTAACCACTGCACTAAACATCCTCCCTGAAAGGATGCATTTCAGTTACAATGTAATATGAAAAGGTTGATTGAATGCTACAATTTTCTAGCCCCTAGGCGAAGCCCCTGATCCAAATCAATGAGACTTTTTAATCATGAATACCCAGGGCACACTGATAACAATGTTTCTATTCGAAGTTTGATTTAATCTGGATTTAATAATATATTAGCAAAATATTCAAACTTGGTTTTGAGTTAAATATCTTCATGCACTGCTATTTTCAGCATGTGGAGTTGGCCACAATTAACACTATGTTTCTGCATTTCTTAAGACTTACTGAATTTGATATTAGTTATACAGGTGAAATATGTTGCCAATTAATATGAAATATCTTTTAAAATTCAGCAAATGAGAATCACCACCACACAATAACATACATTAACGTTATATTAGGAAGATATCTTAATTCAGGCACGTCCAACTTTTGGCTCACTTGGGCCACATTGACTGAAGAGGAATTAATTGTCTTGGGCCACACTAAGATATATAATATAGTTAATGTATATAAATATTAAACTTCCTCTGGGAGAGTTCTTGCGGGGGCTGCATTACCAGCTGTCTAGAGCTACACCTGTCTTAAATTATGAGGCAGGGTACATATTGGCTTATTCCACGAAAAAGACCTTGCTATTGTAGGAATGCAGTAAAAAATCAAAGCCGTTTCTGTAAATATGAAACATATAGCTGCTGAAAAAAAATTCTGCATTATGCTTAATATTTATAAACATTCATATAACAGGCTTTATTTCCCAAGCAGTCAAAGCTAATCCTTCTTTAGTTGCAGCTTAGAAATACTATCTGCTTCAATATAATCAGCACTCATATTGCAGTATCTACCTCTCTCCATCCCTTAACTGGTCATTCAATTGTAGCTTGTAAAAATTCTTCCATATCTCTAAAAGAATAAAAATGCCATACCATTTTTACCAAATATTGTGCCATGGCATGAAGATGTCTTGTAGAAGATCCACTGGAAATTATAAAATAATTGCTGTATTTTATTTCTGGAGGCAAATTGATAACACAAATATCTTTGGCATTTTCTTGTCTCATAAGTGATATCATATCATCAATGCTGAATACTGAAGGAACAGGATCTGAAAGAGACAATGCTTAAATGATTAAAATGTAAATTATGTAGAAAGGTAAGAGGTGAAAGATCTTGAACTAGAACTGAACAGGTAGAAGAAGCAGTTCTTGACCTCTCTCTCCACAGTTTCCTTTGTTACACCTAGAATGAACATCCAATTTTCTAAAAACTACAAAGGCATGTAAAATCATAATTTGTTGTCATCCAGTATTGGCAGGAGTGGAACTGATCTCAGGTAGATTCCTACATTTCTACCGCTCCTGTTTCCACTTAATGATTGGCAGCACCATCTCTGTGTTGTTATTACTCTCTGCAAGCCACCTTTCCCACCCTTGTACACATAAAGTATTCTCTGGACTGATCATCAGGATTTAAGGATCTGTCGGTTTAGCTACAAGTCAGGAGTTTAGACTGCAACACCACCACCATTATCGCGCAAAATAGTTATATTTCCACTGATTTACATCTCCCAGAGCCGTGGGGAGAAAATAAATATATCGATTGCCTAATCGTCAAGCCAGCTGCCTCTACCGTACAGTGAGGCTATTAAAGCCTTGCCAGTAAACGGGACGCAAGGTCGACTTGGCTGCGACATTTCTTCACCGAACGACTGCCAGCTCCATCGATACCTGAACTGATGCTCGATTCCTGCCCATCTCTATCCGCTTCTTGCAAGTTTTGAAACTCCGCTCCGGCTCCTTCTTCTCTATCCCACAGCTCAGATTTCCCTACGGTGCTAAACGTTCGTAATCCTACCCAGGACATCCACGAAGGAAAGACGGAAGCCGCTGCGGCCCTTCGGGTCATGGCATCAACCCATCCTTGGACACCTTTGGCGCTTCCGGTCGCAGCAACGCTTCCCGGAGACTTCAGAGTCTGCAACAGCCGCAGGCAGAGGCTCCCTCGCCACATGGCGCCTCGCGATTCCACAGGGGGGAAAAAATCCGGAAGGGGCAACAGAACCGTCCCAAAAGGGAATCTAGCTAGGAAACTCCCTCTCCTCCCTGATTGGAGGGTGTATATTCAATAGCTTTTAGGGATTGGCTGCGTTTCTCACGTGACAGGCAGGACTGCTGGCGCAGGCGCTGTTTGGTTAAGGATGGAAAGGGCTTCGGAGTATTTTATTAAATCCAGGGCCAGTATATCTGGGCTTCACAAAGACCAGGACAATCTCTTTACTGCCATCTATTGGTCATCTTTGCATTTGCAGCCGATGCATTACAGTCTTCGTAGTGAATTTGTTCCTGGGAGCCAGCTTTGCTGTTATCGACTCTGATGATTTTTGATCATTGGAATGTCATATATTTCAGAAAGGAAGGTGAAATTACAGTTTAAGATGGAAGCCTGGATAGGTGTACAGCTGCTTCCAAGTGCTAGAATTTTTAAATTATTCTTTTGGAATTCTGTAGGATAGGAGATATCTTCACATTTTCAATACCAATCTCTGATAATCCATAGCATTTGTCCAGCCTTAGCTTTCTTTTTGAAGTTCACTGATTTGCAAGCGTTGTGTTTATTTACAAATGTACAAAATAAATGTAGCAAAATCTGCACAGCTTATGCATGTAGACAAGTCATTTATTCTGTTCCAGATCAGAGCTCTAGACCAGTAGTGGGTGCTTGCTAATTCTTTTGACCCCAAGAGGTGGGATATTAAAAGTCTGGGGTTGTCAGTGAAGAGGGCTTGGCTTTTGAGGTAGGCAGGACCAAATCCTCTTGCATGCTCATTCACGTATGGAGAAGTGATACAAATATTAACATATGTGCATCATTCTCCACCTATAATTCATGTCTGTCAAAGGAAAAATCCCCTTGCTTCAGATCCATGCATGCCATGGAGTTCTATATTGCTCACAAAAAGTCCACTTCGAATACAAGGTCACATGAGCCCCATCCTGAACAAAATAAAATCAAAATAAAATATATCTTTCTTCCTGAGTCAAAATTTGGACACCAAGCACTGTGCTTATTGAAGCATCCATATTATCTATAGAGAAGACAGATCAACAGTATGAGTGCCATTTTTCATGCCAAACAAATAATTTACAGGTCGTTCTCGACGTATGACCACAACTGAGCCCAACATTTTTGTTGCTAAGTGAGATATTTGTTAAGTGAGTTTTGCCCCATTTTACAACATTTTTTGCCACAATTAAGTGAATCTCTTCGTTAAGTGAATCTGGCTTCCCCATTGACTTTGCTTGTCAGAAGACTGCCAATTGTGATCTCATGACCTCAGCACGCTGCAACCATCCATACATATGAATCAGTTGCCAAGCATTTGAATTTTGATCACGTGGCCTTTCATAAGTATGAAAAACTCTCATGTCATTTTTTTTCAGTGCCATTGTAATTTTGAATAGTCACTAAACAAGCTGTTGTAAATTGAGGACTACCTGTATTATGTTTTCTAATATGTCTAGTATAAACCAGAATAGCAAGTATTCTTTTGTGCTAGGATTCACCTGAGTAAAAGTGCATTCCTTTGCGCGCTTGTTTGATGAGATCTGTGAATCCAATCACTGGGTTTGTAAATGGCTTAACCTGCTGTTCAAGCCAGATCATAAAATAGTGCAGGACAACATCATACATCAGGGCTTTTTTTCTCATAGAACGCCCAGAATGGAGTTCCAGCACCTTTTTTGGATGGAACCTTGTAGGGTAAGCAAGGCGGGTTGTATGATGTGTGTGAGTTCCGGCACCTTTTTTTTTTTTTTTTTTACAAAAAAAGCACTGACTAAGATAATACTGTATTTTATTGGGGAAAGTGTTGGATAGCCACAGATGAATAGATAGATAGTATGGAAGAATTTAAGCAATTTCAATATTAATAAATGTTTTAGCATGAAGCTTTTGAGTACAGTAAGAGTTTAACCTATAGCAGCAAATATTTAACAACAAGTAGGCTTTGTAATCAATCATGTTTTTAATTCCTCATTGCTTGAAAATAAGTACATTCTATTTTCTTTGTTTTTCAGGTCTTGCCATGAAGTGTTACTGAACCTGTCTTTGTGTTATTTGACCTGTGTTTTCAAACCTATAATAAATTTTGGAGATATCCTCCTTTAGTAGAGAAAACAGATTTCAACTTGTATCTCAAGGGCCAAGTGAGAAGGGACAGAAAATGCGTAAATCAACATCAGGATAAAAATAAATTCACAAGTTCCCTCTTAAAAGTCTTTTCTCCCACAATTGTGAGAATCTGAGTTCACCTAATCTTTCATAACAGTTCTAAAAAGATACATATTGAGGAAGTACAGACAAAGCTATTGCTGGACATAGCCACTTTCTCCTTCTCTTAGTATAAAAGAAATTCCCTTCTAATGCACTAGACTGAATTTAAAAAAACAAAAAAAGAACCAAAAATTATACACCTTTAAATTGTTCTCCAAGCTGTGTTTAAACTGTGTATTAATTAAACAGTAAGGGATATCCAAAGCATCCAGCTAATAATCAGATAGTCCTCAACTTATCATCACAATTAAGCCCAAAATTTATGTTGCTAAGTTAGACAGTTGTTAAGTGAGTTTTGCCCCATTTTACAACTTTTTTGCCACAGTTATTGTGGATCACTGCATTGTTCAATTAGTAATTTAGTTGTTAAGTGAATTTGACTTTCCCATTGATTTTGCTTGTCAGAAGATTGCAAAATTACCATGTGATCACGTGACCCCAGACACTGCAACTGTCATAACTATGAGTCAGTTGCCAAGCATCTGAATTTTGACCAATTGACCATGGGATGCTACAGTGGTCCTAAGCATGAAAAATGGTCATAAGTCACTTTTTTCAGTGTAACTTTGAACAGTCATTAAATGACCTGTTGTAAGTCGAGCACTGCCTGTAATTTTCAAACTAATTTTAAAACTTGTTAACTTGAAGCTGACTGAGTATACAAGATGAAGGAACTTTGCATTGAAGCATGATCCTAGCATGCTTGCACAGAAATAATTTCCTTTAAATTCAGTAGAATTCACTGCAAGCTTAAATTGCTTAGTAAAAGAAAAACGCTCAGCCAAGCAGACATTTATTGAACCTCAGGAGTAAATGATTTTATTTATTCATTTATTTATGCTTTTCATGCAGTATTGACTCCCAGTGACTGCCTAGACAAATCTCTGCAATAATCTAAGATACTGAATATAATACCCAATATAAATGGTTCATTAACTGATACATTATAGCATATCCAAGATAAGCAACTAAAATATTACATTTTCTCTATGTTCTGTTATTTTATAATTTCAAGTGAATTGAATAATAGCTTTTATTTTGTATGTAATGCAAGTATGCCATCTTTCCTCCCTTTTTAAGGCATTCCTACAGTGAATTACAGTTGAGTGTAAAGTTTGAAATTTTAACATGCGATTTTAAAATATTAACCTGAAGAATTAGACAATTCCGAGCTTGCTTTTCAGCAAAGGGTCTCTCTCATTGCCTCTTGGGAAAAGAACAGCCTTGACATTATTGAAGTAAACACTTAGTCCCTCGCTGGATTTCCCTTGGCCTGATTTTCTTTCAATAGGTTTATATTCTTTATATCTCCTAAAGGAATGTGAAGATCAAGTTATTAAAAGTTTTCCTGTTGTATGAACAAAACCCACAATTCCTGGATTGCATTGTTTTTCTCTGTAAATTGTTATTGCACATGTATATTTGTGAAAAAAACCACTGGGAAAAAAGTTTTTAATACAGCTCTAGATAACAGTTGTTGATAATATATATCAGGGTTAAAGGAGAGAGACACAAAAAAGAAAATAACCTATTTTGTGCTTATAGAAATTTACTGCATCACTCACTAATGGAATATACTACAGTAGTAAGTAAATGTTTTCAGAGTTCTTTCATAAAGAAAAAAATACTATGTCATTGCGAGGTATATTCTTGTTGTGAAACCTTTTAAAAAGCAGGGACAATGGGATATTGCAGCTTCAGATTCAAACTTATAGGCAGGAACTATGGTTTAAATCAGGGGTAGTCAACCTTGGCTCTTTTATGACTCGTGGACTTCAACTCACAGAATTCCTGAGCCAGCTAAGCTGGCTCAGGAATTCTGGGAATTGAAGTCCACGAGTCATAAAAGAGCCAAGATTGACTACCCCTGGTTTAAATTGTCCTTCACTTGTGACATTGGGGCATTGGTATTCTCTGACCTTAATTCTTGCAAACATTTTATTTTCCAACTAAGTAACATCATTATGGCTGGATGGAAGTGGAGTTGGCTCTCTGTTTGATCTCTATATACAAGTGGCTTACCCTGTTAGTATTGGTGGGAATGTTCTTGGTAGTTCCTTGATTGGATTGTTGTTTACTACTTGTAAAGAACAAGGAGTAAACCCCACTTCCTTTTAGTAGTGATGATATTACCTAGTTGGGTAATGAAATGTCGGCAAGAAAGCAACCAAACTTGGAGGGCACTAAGGGTCCCACAATTCAGCTCTGAGCTACAAATATTCTCCTCTAATGATTACGGGATCTCTATGCTGTTTGGATTATTATTTTCCACTCCTCAATATCACACCAAGTACAGTTGCCTCAACCCTTTGCAGAAAAAGAAGATAGACGAGCTTTGACATTATTCTTGACAATCATAGATATATTGTACACTCTGTCCGGTAATATTTGGAAGCTTCTATGAATAATTTAAAAAGCAATCTGAAAAAAAAACAGAATATAAAAGAAAAATAACACCAGGGAGTTAATGGGTTGGTGTGTTTTATATCTCAGGAGTGAGTCAGATAGAGAAGGAAAGCCACTGGGTTTTTGCTTTTTTCTATGGGTAAATAGAATCTACCTTCTGTTACAAATTTTTATATCAGTATTATATCAGTTTGAAAATTTTATAAATCATTAAACCAATGGTCTGATCCATGTTAATGACTATACCAGGGGAAGGCAACCTTGGCTCTTTTATGACTCGTGGACTTCAACTCCCAG